GAAAACTTTACCATTGCTCAGATCTATGTCGATGACATCATTTTTGGGTCTCCTCTAGAGTCTTTAGCGATTGAGTTTGCTGAATGTCAGCAGAGAGAGTTTGAGATGAGTATGGTTGGGGAGTTGAGCTACTTTTTAGGACTTCAGGTACGTCAGACAGAGGATGGACTGTTTATCTCACAGTCTAAGTATGCTAGGGATTTGGTTAAGAGATTTGGGTTAGATAGTAAGAAACATACTAGGACACCGATGAGTACTAGCTTGAAGTTAGGTCGTGATCCTTCTGGTAAGAGTGTAGATCCTTCCCTATATCGTAGCATGATAGGTAGTCTTCTCTATCTTACAGCTACTAGGCCCGACATTGCTTTTAGTGTAGGAGTGTGTGCTCGTTTTCAGGCAGATCCAAAAGAGTCACACCTAAGTTCTGTTAGACGAATCATTCGATATGTGAATGGTACTGTAGATCTAGGGATTTTTTATTCTAGGAGTTCCAATCTTGACTTGGCTGGATACTCCGACGCCGATTGGGCCGGAAATGCAGATGATAAGAAAAGTACGACCGGGGGTTGTTTTTACATGGGTAGCAATGTCGTAGCTTGGCTAAGTAAGAAACAAAACTCAATATCCTTATCCACGACAGAGGCCGAATACATAGCTGCAGGGAGTTGCTGTACTCAACTTCTTTGGATGAAACAAATGCTTAGTGATTATGGGATTAGTCAAGGGACTATGACTATCTTTTGTGATAATACAAGTGCGATTAACATTTCTAAGAATCCCATTCAGCACTCTCGTACAAAACACATCGATATACGACATCATTTCATTCGAGAGCTGGTTGAATCACAAGTTGCTTCCCTCGACCATGTGTCTACTGAGAATCAATTGGCTGACCTACTTACAAAACCGCTAGATGGGTTGAGATTCGAATCGCTTCGGTCGGCTGTAGGTGTTAGTTCACCTATTTGATCATGTGTTCATACACATTCATACCTTCATCACATTGCATATGTGTTGCATGTTTGTGTGTTTGTTTAGTCTTAGTTTGCAAGTTTTATTTGTGTGTTTCAATAAAAAAAAAAAAAAATTTTGATTGGGGTTTTGATTATGTGTGTGCCTTATATGCTTTGACTCTGACATGTGCATTTAGACTCGTACTCTTTTATTCATCATATGTACGACTCTGAGGTTCCATCTAAGTTCACTTTGTCTGTGGAGTTTTGGGTATATGGCTCGTCATTCACCTTTGCACAGTGCACACCGTAGTCCTGTAAATGAGACTTGACCGCATGGTTGCGACTTGGGATGGTTGTCTACTATGATTGGGGTTGTGTGTCCATTTGACTTGATCTAGGACGAGTGTCACCTAATCATAATGTCTTTCCCCACGTTTATTGTATATTGTCGAACTTTTGCTATGTTTGGGGCCTATTTGACTCGAACTATTAAGCTCGAGGGGTTTTTAACCTGGTGCCCTAAGGTCGTCTGGCTTGGGAGTCACCGGCCCAACGTTCGCTACGGGGGTCATTTCTGTCGCCTAATAAGGATAGCATTGCACTTAAGTTCGCTTGTTTAAAAAAAAAAAAAACATGAGATCATTAAGTTAGGGGGAGTAAAAATGTGACATTTGTATCATTTGATATAGGTCCTCGTGGTATTGGATTTGATTGTCACTTGGTCGACATACACCTTTGTTTGGTTAGCTTCACGTGTCCCTTCTCACTAATTTAAGGTTTTGAGTCTAGCTTGCATGGACTACGTGGCACTTTTCACGGTGTTGGTCTGCATACACTTGACTCCACGAGTTCTTTGATCTATGTGTGGACTTACGAATTGTCTATATGCTGTGTATCGGGTTTGTGTCTTCATGGTTATGTTTGGGCTCGATTACATATTTTGCTACACATCGTTAAAATTTTGTTACTCAGGGCTATTTTCATAATTTTCAGAGTGTTATGCCATATTTTAAAGAATTCAAAATTTTGGTGCTATTTTTGAAAGTTGCATTTTCGCTCGAGGCTCGCTCCATACCTCGCTCGAGCGATAATAACAGATTCACTCTCGCTCGAGGCTCGCTTAAACCTCGCTCGAGCGACAGTGCAAGGTTTTGAACTATAACTTCATTTCTCGCGTTTCCAATTTGCAAATTCTCCAAGTTCTTCACAAATTTCA